CTGGGTCGCTAACGATCCGGCCTCTAAGAGCCGGTCTTTAGAAAAGGTGAACGACGGGCGCGGCTCCTGCTTGGGTGGGTGATAGTTCAAAGCAGAGTGTAGACGTGGTTAGTTAACATTCATATCGAGCAGCCTTTTGTAATTGAGAGGTCTTTGTTTTGCTATTATCTATTTATTTTTGTTAGCAATCTGGGTCTCCGATGTGGCGAGGTATATAATAGATCATTTATAAATATAAATAGAACGTGTCGATTTCGATATAATGATGCTATCATCGCGACCGACCCATCACTACTTGAGATAACAATTCCAGTAATGGATGACGATGACCAATAGTGTTGGGCAATAACTTATTACTAGTAATACTATTACTTTCCCCAATACTAATACTTTCCCAAGTATTACTTACAAAATTACTTTTATTGTCACACTCCACTGATTTGAAATATTCCCATTACTTTGATTTTAACAAACAAAACAGACTTTAATCGTCGTAAGTCTGAATTTTTGGGAGAAGGGGTACAATTACTAATTTATGAGTAATAAGTAAAAAAGAGTAACTAGCCCAAAACTGGTCACCAAAATGTTGAATTTTAACACAGGAGACCACTGTTTGTTTCCTTTTTCCTACCAACAGTACCGACAGTCGAGGTTGGTTTCTATTATTCACGACCACAATTATCCCTGAACCTTAACCACATGTTTATTATTGCAACCATGAAGGCGAAGCTTCTTAATATTGACGACAATCCAAACTATGTCGTTTCCATAATCATAACCAAGTCATTTTTAAATCTAAACCTAACCAAACCTTAACCACTGTGTCATTACATCATTAAAACACATTTATTGACTGTGATTTGTAGCAGTTTTGGAAGGCAGTGGCAACTATTGGTGTCAGATTTGAAATGTTTTCATCTTTTTGAAGAGTCAGTCCTTCATATGACACAAAGAAGTTAATGCTGTGGCTGCAGTTAGTACAAATCCAACTGGAGAGGCTGCTCTCAGTGACTTTGGAAAGTTATACTTGTGCAGAATAGGGACTGAATCTGATACTAAGCTTTATTGTTTTCAATATTATCAGAAGTAATAACATGACTTATCTCAACATGTGTTACAGACACACAAGGTTTACACCACATAAAAATATAATATATATACAAAACAGGTCTCAATGACACATGCTGGGCCTTGTGCTAATACGTTGATCATGCGATCTTGTTAATATGATGAGTTTACTAAACTTTCATTTCAAGTCAGAAGAACTCATGTTAATAAGTCCTGACACTAGAATTTAATAAAACCTTTGTATTTACGCTTAATTCATTCAATACATTGTGCTCATTTGACAAATCACAGGAGATCTGTATCTTGACATAAATAATGCATAAAGCCACTGATTCTTAGTATAAGAGAATGTGGTACTGTTTACCACTTTATTTATTATTTCACTTTATCCCCTCGGTATCCTAGTTTCTCTGACAGCAGATGCAGTTAAAAACAGGCCAGAAGGAATACATGTACACTTAGTTTGCTACTGCATGGGAGGAAAAGCTTAACTCTTTCTTTTATAGGGGCTGAGATTAAACCTCTAGTTTCCACATTATGGTCACATGACACAGGCAGTGTCATATAAAATGTGATGTAAAGAACCACAGAAGAAACAAGTAGTGAAGTGTAAGTATAAAAATGGGTTTTTATTTTCTTTTTCAGTAATTAAAGCGATTTTCAGAGAAGACATCAGACACAGACATACAGGTGGATACTCCAATGCTGCCACCTAGTGGTGTTGCTGCATTACAGCAATGCAACACAGTCCAGTTTAAGCTGTAAAGAGGAAATCCACCAATTTCACATGATAAAATCGATTTACAAATCACGTGGTGCCTCTGAAACAGTTGTATAATATTGTCTGTGACTTTGGAGAAGCTTTATAAAGATAGTTTTATACAAATTTTGAGCAGAACGTCTATGTTGCAAACTGGGGGCACAGAGTTTGAAAGACCAGTCATTTACTAGAGGGTCCAACAAAAGATGCTATGGCGCTACATTATGGGAACTATATGATCCAGGGTTTTTGAATCAATTCTTACCAGGCGGTAAAGTCAGAATAAGTCTGCCTTTATTGCTTCAGTTTTGACCATTCTTTTTAAAATATTTCTCTTAAAGTTAATCAGGAATGAAACTGGAGTTCTTGTATATTGTGCAGCACACACTTCTCTGGCTTGACTCCTGTAACTTTGACTTGTTAAGCAAGATCACAGATGTCAGCTAACTGATCTTTGGCTGGAAGTCAAAAGCAACATGGCATGTCGGAGGGTGTTGACAGGACAGGCAGATGCTTCTGATTAAGCATTCTATGAAACAATATGGGCCAATGGATGGTGAGAATCTTCACTGGAGAAGATAAGACTGATCATTATGATAACATTTTGATCATAGGTCACATGAGGTCGCTAAAACAAAGTGTATTTCTGACAGTTTTTATTCTCAATTATTAGAATTTTAGAGAATTCAAGATTCTGTGTGCATAATTTATATACTCAAAATCCAATATTGTGAGAATAAAAGAAGAAAGTTTTGTATGTCTAAGTGCAAAAAAAATTAATGCATGCTAACACTACTCAAAGGGTTAAAGTTGTTCCTGTTGATTTTGCGAGGTTGGACTCTTCAGTGTCATTTGGTGATGACAGAGACTTTGTGGAAGCTCCTGGAAACAATGCTGGGGCTGTTGCTGTGCGAGAAAGTGGCCTTCAGCAGTTTAGTGCCAGGTGAAGTGGCCATGATGGACACCTTCTTCTCTATTTTCTCACCTGGCTGCAGGGAAACCAGTCTGGGAAAGAGAGGAAAGAACGGAATTCTTTCAAATTTTAGCTCTCACAAAGACACACACAGAATATCTTCAGAGCAGTCTGAAACAGTCTGGAGATCCATTGCCTGTAATAGCGTGTAATATTATTGGATGATGACTAAAAGGGGCAATTAGGAAGATATTTGATGTTCTACAGCACAAACTCATCATTATATATCTCTGTGTGTGTGTGTGAGTATGTTGTGAGTGTTGATTAATACCACCAATTATTCGACAAATCATCACCAGGTACAGAGATTTTTCTGGCTCCCAGAACTCACATACTGCCCTTTCTCTACTGCCAAAAACGCCAACGCCAAAGCAGTTTAATTGTTCCAGTATTTAGCATGGTGATGCATTACCTCTTAACTAGATGTTTCTGCTAAATCTCTATCTCTAATTAAATAGCTTATACCTCTCTGGGGTGAACTTTTGCTTCATTGTCTGTGCCAATAAAAAAGTCACCATGGCTCCAGGAGACTGAAATAAGAGTAAAATAGGACCAAACTGGGAGAAGACAAAATTTGGACATTTTCAAATGTTTATGGACCAAGTTTGTCCAGTTAAAGCCATAAAAGAAGTAGAGGAAGAGTGGATGATTAGATATTTACAACAAGGAACCAACAACATAATGCAAATATGGAACATAGTTGACATACTGAAAACTGTAGTGATACTACACTGCAAAACAAGTGCTTATCATTCTTTGACCATGAGGTGATTCTTGTCTGATACAGACAGAAAGTGCTCTCTCAACTCTCTTTAGGTTTAGTAAGGAGTTGTTTTTTGGTCCAATTAAATAAAGCTTTCATGCTATTTAGCACTGAACAGACAATACTGAGTGGCAGATTAGCAGACACAAAACACATATATGAGCCTGAGTCAACTGGTCAACACAGATTAACCAAAACCCAGAAAAACAAAAATGTCTAGTTTTAACAGGTTGAGCCAACCCTTCCTTCTATACTATAGCCTTTTTAAAGACGGAGGAACCAAGGTTTTTACCAAAATAAGACTACAGTATCAGCAACTTGACCAGCTCTCAGACCAAAACAAATCAGTTTTTTACTTGGTGGGACAAAATGACATTTTCTAACTTTGACAATGCACACAACTAGATTAGAAGACATTCTTGTTGAGTCTATTAGATTAGCTTTGTTTTAAAATTAACAGGAATATTTAAAGGATTTAGTGCAGATTGCAACCAAATAATTAAAACTCAGCCTTCCAAGTTAGTTGGAAGGTTAATTTAATTTCTTTAATTTTCTTTAAATTAAATTACACAGCTAAACTTAAGATATTCTTCCTTAAATTAAACTTAGAATAAGTGCTAATCATTTTGACCATGAGGTAATTCTCGTCTGATACAGACAGAAAATGCATGTCTATTTCAACTCTCCTTAGGTTTAGTAAGGAGTGTATATATATGTATATGTATACACATATACTGTAAAGGAGATTGAACCTGTTTACCCATTGATTGGTTAAGACTGAATATAAAAACAAATAAAAGCATGTCACAGCCTAGGGCAGCAAAACAACAGATGAATCAGAACTGTGTTGCCATTTAAATTTAAATGTAATCTCTTTTATTATATTATAGGTTTTTATTTATTTATTTTAGGCTTTTTGTTTTTCTATCATTATAGTATGCTATTATTTTGGGGGAAGTGAAAGAAAAAGCAGAGGGATCATTGCATGAATATATAACACACCTGTGGTAACTTGACCACATTTGAATGTAACAACATTATGTTCCTGCTGCTGTAAAAACATACCTGACAGCATTCCCAGACCACATTCCTCACACACACACGCACACACACACACGCACACACATTTTTTTCTGTCTGGCTCAAACATAGAGGAAGATGTACATGACACCACTGAAATGTGGCCGAGGGACTGATTGTGTGTTATTTAATTTTGTGACATCCAGGCACCAAACAGAAATATCACTCGAGAATGATGATTTATTGTATGTCTTGAATTCCAACTGTAAACAGACTCACTTGACATTCTGGTTGTCTTGTAGCAAGCCAAACCCCTCTACAGTCAGCACAGCTCCATTCAGAGTTTTGCCAAACGTGTTGATGAAGGACACGTGCGCTGTGTGCTCCCCCTTCATCTGGATGCTGTCCCCTCCTTCAATCTGTGGAAAAATAGGAGGTATTGTGCGTAATTGTTTCAAATCAGCACAGATTACTTTTTCAGAGATTACTGTTGACGGAAGAGAAGATAGAAGCATTCATTCTCCAAGCTCATAGAAAACCTATTGTTTTGGATGATAGAAAACTACATAGGGCTGTTGGGTTTTCATGCAGCACTTGCTGTTAATGACAATAGTATTCTAATTAAATTATCTGTTTTTTTCACCTATAGCTGCTGTTTTGATGAAGATGTTTGGCAGAACACACCAAGTATTTTTCAATGGAACCTTTTCCGACCTCAAAAAAATATCTTGTGGTGTTCCACAAGAGAGTTGCTTGGGTCCGCTTTTATTTAGGTGTACTGTATAAACGATTTACCATAAAAAAACACATGCAGATGACTCGACTCTGTTAGCTTCACCAACATTAGTAGGCTGGGCAATAGATATCAACATATGGTGTGACATAATGTGACAATCTTTGCTTATCAAGCATCTGAAGTCTGGACTTCTATGGTCTGCTCAAAATGGGCAAATGGGTGGGGGGGTTTTTTATGCTGCTGAGCTGATAGCAGCAGAAATTGAACAAAGATGAAGAAGAAAAAGAAAGGAAGACAATGCTACATAATTTGTTTATGAGTTGAAGAGTAAAGATGCTGGATGCTGCTATACCTCTATAGATATCTTTGGTGAGCTCATGCTGAACTCCTGTGCAACAAGGAATCTTTCTTTGGTACTCAAGTCCTCTATCACCACTGCCACGTTCACAATGTCATCAGCTCCCAGGACCGACTCATACTTAGAGGGAGAGATGGTGTGGTGGAGTGTCAAAACTGCAGAGAATGTAAAGGATGTGGAAACATTAATATTCAAATCTAGATATTTAAATAGAAGTTGCAAATAATCTTTAGTGTTTGATAAATTAAACCTCTACAGAACAAACACTAATATACATTGTGACCAGGTCAATACAGTACATTGCAATAAAAAATGAAATAGTACTAAATAAGGTATTGCACCAATAGTGCAAGAGAAACTGTACATATTAATCACTGTGAATCATACTCCTTACCTTTACCCGCCTGTATGTAAACTTCTTTCTTGGTTCTCCAGAAGCTCTCCTGGGGGCTGCAGTTGTACTCCTTCAGCTGAGCGTTGACGTGCTCCATCAGGATCCTGTCGGTGTTTGCATGGTTTGTGACCGTCACACACATGATGATGCTGTCACCCACTGATGGCACCTTCTCTATGTGTAGGGACACCTCCAAACCGGGTAACATTTTTTCTGGAGATGAAAAGGAGAGGACTGTACATTGTTGACAATAACTACTGGATAAAGTGATGAAGAAAACATTGCATTTGTTACAGGCGAAAGATAAAATACAGCTGTTGGTGTGAACTGTGTATGTTTACATGGCAGTTTAAGTCCTTGAACATGTTAGTTCTTGTATTTAATCAAACATGGTCAAAAGTTTGTAGACAACCATTCCAATTTGAAATTTAATTGGAAAGCGTTGTTAATGTGAAGTGGGAACAGCTAAGACCACAGCTGCTCAGCTGTGAAGCAGCAGGCCACACCTGGTACACCTCCGAGTGTACCAGATATAGAAGAATAAATGAAGGACAGTATTGTAAAGAAAAAGAAAAAGAATCAAATCAAAATCTCAAAATGTACAGTACTTTTCACTTTTCAGTGAGGGAACAAATCTGGAATTGTGTCTCAGTATTAAATATATCAAATTAAAATACCATATTTAAAGCTAGAGAGCATTAAGATGCTCAGTATTTTTGATTGGTGAAACTAAACACAACAAACAAAAAGAGAAAGTAATTACAACTAAATTATTACAATAAAGCTATTTATATTTCCTGGTCCTAATAATCAGTACAATCATGCATCTGGACTTCCACATATTGGAAAGTTGTGGCTTGAAACAACTTGCTTTGGTTGGACAAATAAAATAAAATTTTAACTGAAAAGACCTGAATTCTAGAAATGCTAAACTTCGCTAAAGCTCTGATAGAAGTCTACCTGTCAGTGCTGAAATAATAATGATTCAGAAATGACAGAAATTTCAATATATAGAATAAAGTGTTCAGAGTTTATTATATGTACTGTGGATATTATATGAACTGTGGATAAATCCTCATGCTGCCCATTTTTCCTGCTTCTTTGAGGACGTTGTGATGTGAGTGATCACTTGCTGCCTAATATATCCCACCCACTGACAGGTGCCATGATAACCAGTTATTCACTTCATCAGCCAGTGGTGTTAATGCTATGGCTGATCGTTGTATACTGTAGTGTAGAATGCTTTAATCCAAAGTTTCTGATATATTAGCATATACCTTTTTTATTAGATATGACTGCAGTTGGAGCTGAACCTTCAACTGTGACAGTGATAGTACTTTGCAGTGGAAAATACCTAAATATACTATGTGGCACTGTGAAAATACAGTGACTTGAAATATTTTGTAACAGTATGAGTGGAATGAAAGCTTACCTGCTCCATGTGTCAGAGGACTGGACTGAGCCAAAGGTGTGGAAGTAAGCAATGCTGCAAACGTGGGAGAGATTTTGTCATGAAAGAAGCAACAGGATCAAACAGTAATTTGGTCAACACTTAATGAGAAGAGAAGTGCATAATTTGGTTCTGCTTACAATTGGCCTTTCAACAGCTTATTATTTGAGACTCAACAATTGAGCTGTTTCACAAATAAAGGCTTGGTTAGGTGTAGGAACAAAAATCATTTTGGTTAGGGTATGTTCATGAATTTATATTTCAACTTTACAGATTATCTGTTAAACATCTACAGACAAAGCAATTGTTACAAATACTCTATAAACTGTAAGCAGACTATCCAAATAAAGTGTTACATAAAATGTCCAATTTGGTACAAAACAAACATTGAGCTTAGACAGACTACATGTTGGGAGCTCATTCCTAAAATCAGGCTTCATACACATAAAATGGAGTGAGACATGCTGTTTTATTAATGTAAATGTTCTAGTAATTATTCAGTAACTGGTCTGTGGATAATTAAGCAGGAATTTGAAGTTTCCAGAAGTTTTTCCAAATTCAAAATAGGAAGCAAAGACCAACTAGAGACAGGTGCATTTGTCCAGTCAAATGTAGGAGTGGTTCAAGTTGATGTCTGAGTGATGGGGGACCAACTCATACAAAAACGTTTCCACAGCAGTTCTAGCGACCCACAGGGTTTCAAATAATTTAAAGTATTTGCATGTGGGTTATGTTCTGTATGTTTTTATGTCAGACAGCGAGAACAAATATGTTGTGTGTTTATTACACAACCACTGACCTTTACTTGCTGAGACTGCTTGTTTCTTCTCTGAAAAAAGACAGAAAATGGGGACAAAAACTTGATCACTAAAGTAGAAAACAAAGACAGAAAAAAGCATACTTCTATACATATGGCATTTGCATAAAGCTGACTCTGGTCATTACACAAATGTGCTGGTTTTTAAACAATATTGTATCTGACCTGTCAACAAACAGGACCATGTCTGACTTGTCCTGCTCTTATAAGTCTCGGTCAGATTCTTTGGTCTGTTTGAGCCAATGCCCTTGGTGTAGATCAGCTGTCCCACCGACTCAGTGTCTACCAGCCTCTGCACCACCAGTCCATCGTGCACAATCAGCCGTATAATGTCAGCATCCACCGAGGCATAGACAAACGACGAGTCATAAGGGACATGGAGGCAACGTCGCTGGATGGCAACTACTGGACAAGGGCCACAGCAGAATTTCCCTGTAGAGAATGATGTGTTTGTTGTTACATACAGTTATCCTTCACAAATGAGTGACATTATCTATTATTTTCTTTCTGTGACATTTACTGAAAATTCTGTTTTTCTGTCCAAATTTGAAACAATTACATTTATGAAGTTTGAAAATTTTAAATCTGCATAAATGACTGCAGCATTTTAAAACCCACTTGGAGCAGAGACTCACCTGCACTCTTCTCTTGAGGGGTCGGGTCCACTACCTGCCAGCCATCAAACCCTGCACCCAGGTCTGGTCTCATCATCCAGCACTCCACCCACACATGGAAGTTCCTGCAGGAGAACACACAGGTATTGATGCACACACATATACACACTCTCAAAAAATTCATTTAATTCATGTAAAAGAATAATTATCCTAATGTTAAAACAGACAGAAAACTTCAGTCAAATCATCCTGATAGCCAAACAAGAGCAAGAGACACCAACCAAATGCTGTCCTTTGACAGGTTGAGCTTTTCCCCTGTGCTCGAGTAAATTTCTTCGATTTTCACGGAGCCATCAACGTCATGAGCTGCATTGAAAACTGTCACCACCCTGGAGGGAATCCCCAGCACTCTCATCACTGGAAAAAAAAAAGAATAGTCACTCACAATGACACTTTTGAAATAATCTGTAATGACAAGTTTAGGCCTGAGAAGCATACTTCATAAAAACATAAAAAAAACTCAAATTAAGTATAGTGATGAAGATGATATTTTAAAGGTCAGTTTACCAAAAATACAAAAAAATCCCAAACCAAACTAATGGTATTTGGCGCAGTTAGTTTTGGTTTATTAGTTTTTGCCACAAAAACAGTCTGTATTATGAAGAAAAGATATGCTCTATAATAGTCACACACGGTATAAATTGAGTCAGCAAGATTATTCAAACACAAAACAGCAAACAAAAAAGGATGAGATTAATATTACACAGGGAGGTGGGGAATAAAATATTCACATTCAACATTTTAACCATCGCATTTCGCATTTTGCAGTCACCGTAGTTTCTCCATTGCGCTTGGGAGAGCAGTGTGAAGAGAGGGACTTGCAATCTACAACTACACCACTAGATGTCACTAAATCCTACTCACTGGTCCTTCAAATGTCACCCTTGATTTTGGCATAAATACATTCTTGTGTTCCAGTCATTTGAAGTACCTGTGCAGAGGACAGATGCATAGACCCAGCACTGCCCATAGCGCACCGGCCTGCAGTTGGACGAGACCCAGCGGTGAAGGATGTCAGCACTGCCACTCCACTCTGTAGGCTTGACACCCCCTTTGTAGTTCCCATGCCATTTCCCCTCCAAAATACCCAGGTCATCATTGGAGTTCACCTTGGACAGGAGGAGAGAAAACAGAGAAACGTTACTGACCTTTTGCAGAGGAAATTGTTTGATAAATTCCTACCATGTTATTGATAATATTAGTAACAGATTTGTCATGAGGGGGAATGCATGTGTATATTTGTCCATATTTATCGCACATCCATACGGTATTCGTGAGTGTTGTCTCTCACCATAGCACAGATCACTCTGCTGAGGTAGACAGGGTTTGCTCGTTGAATGTAGTCATTGTGTTTGTCACTGAGGTGCTCTGGGCTGACCTGCAGGAGCCTCAGACATGCCTCTAGGACCCCCGGCTCATACTGAACACAACAAAAAAGTGTTCAAATAATGCTGTGATTACACACGACAGTTGCATGTTGCTGAGTGTCACATACCTGACCAAATGACCAGGGCTTACAGCCAATGTTTAGATGGGTGCCCATGTACACCAACCCATAGTCACTCTTGATGTACTCTTCTATATGGTCGTCCAGTGGCATGTACACTGGATCATCTGAAAAGCAATGGCAGCAGTGTGGAATGACTTCTTTAACAAGATAACAGCAAAAACAGTAGCCAGTAGCAGGAAGAATCATTACTACATGGACCCACCTTTGTGCCAAGGGTTGCAGAGCAGCACAAAATCTCCCAGTTTGTACGTCCGTCTGTTCTGTGCAGTCTCTATGTGGACCCAGAGGCAATACAGTCCCACCGAGGATAGAACAGGGGAGCAGATGCTGATGGTAACTGACTGATTATGCATGTCGTGTGGATAGACTTTGGCTGACCAGCAATGGGGGTTGGGAGGCATGTCACAGAACTGTACTGGCATCTTCTCTGACATATTACCTGTATGGTGGAAGAAAACAGCAGTTTAAAGATGTTTTCTGGAAATTTTCTTTAATTCTATCCTGTCTTTTCTTCCCTGTCCTTTATCCAGTCCTCTTCTGCCCTGCTTGTCTTTTCTCTCCCGTGTTGTCCTAATCTGTCTTGTCTTATCATAGCTAGTTCTGTCCTGCTTTGTTTAATTCAGTTCTTAATCCATCCTGTCTGTATCTGTATTGTCCTTTACTTTCCCTCTTCTTTTCTGTGAGATAAATAGATTGATACCACTCTCTTGTATGTGTGCTTAGTAGAGAGCTGGCATCAGGGGACAGTTAGCCTAACAGCATCAAAAATTGGAAGCAGGGAAAATCTGACACCATATCAGTAAGTGTTTCTTTTCCCTTTAGAAAGAGCCAGGGAATCTGGTTATCCCTCTTCCTGTGTCTTTATGCTAAGCTGGGTAAACCCAGCTCCATACTTAAAGGTCCAGGTGTGTGTGATTTAGTGGCATCTAGTGGTGTAGTTGCAGATTGCAACTCCCTATTATTTTCAGGTGATTATACACTAATGAAAACAGAGTTATGCATATTATATTTTCCATTTCTGCAAATATTAATAATAATAATAATCCTATTAAATACACACTGGATCTTCAATTCACAAACGTGATATGGATCTTGATTTTCTAATCTTACTCAAAAGCAAATTTACCAATTTTACCATGTTGAACTAGTAAAAGCATGTAAAAGAAGAGTCATAAAGTCAGCAAATAGACTCAGTAATATCAGTAATACAGTATATCTATATATAACATTTGCTGCCATTAGCTAAGATTTGCAACTAAGCTACTACCAGACCAAGTAAGGCTGTAGCAAGGGTTCGAGCAAGGGAGCATTTTTATGGCTTATGTACTTTTCACTTTTCACGTCTTGCATTAACTGTGAGCAGACTGAATCCTATCTTCCATACCTAGCGAAACCTCCAGGACCAGGTTCTTAGTGTAAGCATTCCACCAGTTGTTGCGAAACAGCAGAGTGACACTAAATGGTTTCCCTCGTCGCACCACCAGGTGCTTTTCGCTGAGCCCCCGTGTCTCATGGGAAGCGTGGTTTTCATCTGCCTCAAAGTTGACCAACTTCAGTTGGTCTTTTTCACCACCTAGGAAAACAGATGATGTATGTATTATGAAAACCACATTGAACTCAAGACTGGAGGGGAAAAACATGAGGCCATGGTGAAGAAAGGAGAGAGGCAGGGGTAAGGTGAAACAGGGGAGAGGGGAGTTTTGTCATTTTGACACTGTGTGTGTTGGTTGAATCATAGACTTTCTCACTGCAAAAGACCAAAATACAATAGAATATTTAGTCCAGGAAACATACCTAACTAAATAACAGTTATTACCTATGCTGAATTGTTTCTTTTCACACTGTTGTTTCACAAGTTGAAAAGTGTACTGCCTCACTGTCACATACCTTTACTATCCACACACACACATTCTGTCACATTGTCTGCTTTGCAACCATGTCATTTAAATTCATAGCTGTACAGTCTGTCTTTGTGAATATGTTAGCACCTCAGTGATAGAACTACTTCATGTGCACACCTGTTTCAACAAAGTTATAAAATATATATATATTCTTCAGTACAATATCCAGATAGAGAGGTAATCACTTTAACGCTATCTACTTAATTTATGTTGAAATAATACTTGCATCTGATTCATCTGATCTGGAAAAGGTTAAATGTTTGTTATAATTTCTTGTCAAGCCAGAAATGAGTGACGGAACATGTAAAATATCAAGAAATCATGAATACTAAAAGTAAACACAAAAGCATGCGCACACCTGTCTCTGGAGAAGAGAAAGCTTTGAGTGAAGCATGACTCGCATAGTGAACTCACCACAGTTGTAGTGTATTGTCTGTTGAATGCAGTTCATGGTCTGACAGACAGATGAGTTACAAGTGACTGAAGTAATGACAAGCAGGCTCCACCTTCCCACTGATAAACATCTCACTCTGCCTCTTTGTTTCCCCCTTTTTATTCTACTCTCTGCCCCCAGTGGTCAATAGTGGCCAACTCACCAATTGTAACATTTATTTATTTATTTGTTGGTTTATCTAGCAAGGAGAGTGCACAGTGATAAATGTTAGCCAGGTGACAATTATTCATCTGTAGGCTAGATAAATCTGTTTCAACTTTTAAATTCCTTCTAAAACACTCAGGCTTTTATGGGAATTTACACAATATAACAATATTTTCCATGTATCCTTGTGATTTATTTTATCTTAATTATTTATTTTATTAAAAAAAAAAAAAGAATTGAAATTCTAGCAGTGAGATTGCAGATTGCTACCAACTGAAACCCATTGAGTCAAAGCGTAAAAGAGAAACAATGGTAGATGAAAGCCCCTATCTAGAGCCAGTATTTGGTTTGTCCATTCTGGGCTACTATAGAAACACGGTGGTTCAACGTAGTGGCTTGCGTGGAAGAGGACCTGCTCCCTCTGTAGGTAAAAACGGCTAATATTAAGGTAACAAAAACATTTTTATTATCAGGTGATTATACACTAATGAAAACCAACCTATGAATTTTGATACTCTGAAATGTTACACACTGTACCTTTAAGCAGGTATAATGTTTACAATCTTAATTTGCTGTGTTAACATTCCATCCATCTGATCTGGTTCTGATTAATCCAAGTTTTCAAATTTACTGACTATGAGGTAACAGTGAAATGACGAAATGGGCACACACCTTTCTCTGAAGAGTGTACACCTTTCTCTAGAACTGTGATTAGTAAAGCTGTGGTTAGTGAAGGTGTGACCAGTGACAAAACAGCTTATAAAATATTAGTTTTGTTACAAATGAAACTACCCAAAAGTCTATTCAAGTCCAGCTGAAACAAGACATTTAATCGACTGATCTGGTTCTGATTAATCCAAGTTTTCACATTTACTGTCTATGAGGTAACAGTGAAATGATGTGACACCATTACACAAGACTTAAGACAATGAGTTGCATAATGTCACTTATTTTGTCACAGTGACACACAATTCATGGCACTCAGTATATATATTGTGATATTGTGTTGCTTTATGAGTGACACATCACAACAAAGGTGTGTACACCTTTCTCTAGAACTGTGATTAGTGATGCTGTGGTTAATGACGGTGTGACCAGTGACTGTAAAATATTAGTTTTGTTACAAATTAAATATTATTATATTAAATATTCCATAATGAAAATAATCATTAGCTGCAGTCCCATACAAAGCAGTTTAAAAGAAGCTCCACCTCAACCAACAACAAATGTATGAGTAATAATAATTTAATATACTTTAAGAATGTTTTCCTTATTATACTTACATTCTTTTACTTAAGTTACATTTTCAATGCAGGACTTTTACTTAAGTAAAGGGTCTGAATGCTTCTTTCACCACTGCACAGTATGCATAATGCGTATTCTGTTAACTATAAATTGCTTCATTTTGGATTTGTAGTGTTTCAAGTTTAGGATTTTAATTGTATAGATTCCTGGTGGTTTGTATGCAAATAACTGGAACATAAACTGAAAAATGTTTGCATTTACCCTGTAAACCTCTCTTTCAAGTGTGGTACACTGCTCTGAAAATGTGTAGCTCTTACGGTATTTTAAATACAATCAACATTCTTAACTTATCTTAACTGTATGGTTATATTTTTATTATACACTGATCAGCCATAACCATTCTGCAGTCCCCATACCAACAATGTCACACACTGTGTGTTCTGACCCCTTTCAATCAGAATCAGCATCAACTGTTTCAGCAGTTTGAGCTACAGTAGCTCGTCTGTTGACCAGCCTTCGCTCCCCACGTGTATCAATGAACCTGTCTCCGGTTCTTTTCTTCCTTGGACCACTTTTGATAGGTACTGACCTCTGCAGACTGGGATCACCCCACAAGAGCTGCAGTTTTGGAGATGCTCTGACCCAGTCGTCTAGCCATCACAATGTGGCCCTTTCTAAAGTCGCTCAAATCCTCACGCTGCCCATTTTTCCTGCTTCTAACACATCAACTTTGAGGACAAAATGTTCACTTGCTGCCTAATATATCCCACCCACTGACAGGAGCCATGATAACGTATCATAGCAGAGGAGAGGCATGTATGTCAGTACCGTCGAGCGGTGCGAGAATCGGA